GAACAATATTTAATAGTGCGAATTAACATACCAAATAGAATATTCTTTTTTATATGCGTAGAATAAACACTATTAAAAGGTAAATAATATGACTCGTAAGATGGTTTATGATAAACTTCTGTAAATAATTCGTCATTTTTATTTTCTATACATAAATCAAGAAAATTTGCTGAATAACCAACTTGTGCTTCTAATTTAATGCTTGAATCAAATTTATTCCATCGATAAATTTCTTTCAATAAATGTTGAGTAGGCCAATTAATCGTAATAAATATATCATCAATATATCGCAAATACAATCTATCACCATTGTTAATTTGTTTTATGATATCTTGTTCAAAAAAAAACATATAACAATTAGCAACTGTTAATGTTAATGGAGAGTCCATAGCATTACCACGTACTAGATAATAACATTTACCCTTATAAGAAAAATAATTATTTTGTACAATGAATCAACACAAAAGGATAATAGTTTCAATTTTTAAACCATTAATTTGTTTTATATTTAAGTAATCTAGCATTTTTTGTGAAACACGATCTGAAAGGAGTGTTGAGGTGTATAGGGTAGAAATTTTGGACCCACTTCCCCCGCCCCCCTCCATCACAGACTGTGACAGAGAAAATTCATACCCATCACAGACCGTGACAGAGAACCTTCGGACCAGGGCTGCCAAACCTCCTGGTTTTTTACTTTTGTCCTGGTTAAAAATTCTCCTGGTAGCAGGAGCTGGTTTTTGAGATTTTCTCCTGGTTTCTGAATTTTCTTTTAATTTTGACTTTTAGAGACATTTTGAATCAGTAAAATGAGATAAACGAAAGAGAGAAAAGAAAGAAAAGAACAGGTGTATCATCCTACTTGAAAAATGCAACAACCAATAAGGAAATATGTTAACCTTGTTGTTAATTATATAATAAAGCCAAAGAATCATTCAACTGTTACAAATGAATCCTACTGCAAGAACTTATATGTTGACGATAAAAAGAAAGAACATTTGAAGTATTTATGAGAATATCTTCATTGTAAGAAGATGAAGTTATTGAAATAGCGAATTCATCAAAAGAAAATATTGTGCCACAAGCCAAATCTAATTCATTAAAAAATAATCTAAAATCTAAAACTTCATTACCACTACCATCTCGTACAGTGCCTAAACGTTACCTATCAAAATTTTAAAAAGACTGGTTATCTGATCCACAATATTCTTCATTTTTAAGAGAGTGCAAAAATGATGCAACAAAAGCGTTATGCATTCCGTGTAATATTCAATTTTCAATTCAAGATAGTGGAATGACTGATGTAAATAATCATATGAAAACAAAAAAACATCAAAAGTGTCTTAAATCTATTGAATCAAACAAATGTAATATTTTCTTTACAAATTTAATAGAAAAATCTTTCTATTGTGTTATAATTATTTCTTCTTTGTAGCAGAAGCAATACATTCAATATTTAATTCAACTACGTCAGAACTTAATCGAGTATCGACTACTGAAGGAGTTTTAGTGTTCCACAGTGTAAAACATTTCCATAGTTATCTCTGAGGAAAATATTAATTGCTTGCGTAAAAGAAAATTTCAATTTTTTTCGAAAAAAGACAGCGAAAAGTTTCTTAATTTTAATATAAATCTCCTTAATTATTCTCCTGGTTTCAAACAAGGATCTCCTGGCCAACTCCTGCTTTTTTTCTCACGAACTTCTGGTTTTCTAAATTTGGATTTGGCAGCCCTGTATAAGTCCTGCTGCACCTAGCATAGATCCTGCCCCAATTCGCTTACGAACTTCTTATAAAGCTTCTATTTTTGTTCCAAGTAGAACTCGATGAGCTCTATTTAATTGTATAAATGAATTTTCAATGGCTTAAACTAGATAGTCAAGAAGTCAAAAATACCAGCGGTATAGCCGATGAGTTATGGGCATTGTACGATAGATCCTGCCCCAATTCCCTTAGGAACTTGTTTCAAAACTCATATTCTTGTTCCAAGTAGAACTCAATGAGCTCTATCCAAGGATATAATTACAGTTTTCATAGCCTAAACTATGCACGAGAAAAATCCAAAATACTGGTTTTTTTTTCATACATTTCATAGAACCCCACACCCAAGATCCTGCTCCCCTTCGCCTAGGAACTTGTTCCAAAGCTTCTATTCCTGTTTCAAGTAGAACTCGATGAGCTCTATTCAATGGTATAGTGAGATTTTTGATAGCCCAAACTATGCACGAGAAAAATCCAAAAATACTGGTTTTTCACCATATACTCTTTAGAACCCTTCCCGTAGATTCTGTCCTGATTCGCCCAGGAACTTCTTCCAAAGCTAATATTCTTGTTCCAAGAAGAACTCGATGAGCTCTACCCAATGGTATAAGGGAAGGTAACGATTCGTAACGGTTGGTTACGAAAGCCCAGTAAGAAGCAGGGCTTTCGTAACAATGTAAAATGCATAAATCATAAAAAGCAGGGCTTTCGTATCGATTTTCGACAGGGCTTTCGTATCGTTTTAGACTGGGCTTTCGTATCATTTTTTAAAGAGCTTTCCTATCAAGTTTACAGGGCCTTCGTAACAATTTTGACAGGGTCTTCGTATCGGTCTTACAGGATCTTCGTACTGTTTTTACAGGGCTATCGTAACGTAAAAGGATTTGGTATGATCTTTAGTCAGATGTTGCTGACAGGATTTCATATTGAAATTAGTGATCTACCAAAATTATAACATAAATAGTTCAAAAGTAGAAAGTGAGAACCAGCATATAAGTATAGACAAATTTTTATCTTCTTGTAAATCTCTTTCTTAGTAACAACAAAAAGTAACAAAAACCAGGCAATACATAAAGAGAGAAGAGTGAACGAGAACAATATCCAGATAATAGAATTAAGAATACACATAATTGATTTCCTCGATTTTAAGTCAACAACTTTCACAAAAAAAGGCGTACACAATTCTGGAAAAACATACCCTAGAGAAAGTACTGAGTTCAGGGTACCCATGTACTGAGAAAGCTCTAGCAGGGTACCCAATATGGGTACTTTGAAAATTCTCAGTAATTTTACTGATGCATGTCCTGTTTGGGGTACCCGTAAATGCACATTCACTGAATAAGTACCTGCATGGATACACAAGTCTGTAACTTTACTGAGGAAATCTCGACAGGGTATCCTAAATTTTTCGCGTTCTGTGTGGCGACTATTCATTCACCGTTTTCTTTTTTACGTACGGCTCTATATAAACAACTCGATAAATCATAAGAAAATAATCAATTTTCATACTATTTTTTTCTAAATTATTTCTTGACTATTTCTTAGTCGAGGAAATGCCGACCTTGGTCGTAAATTTAGATCGGACTACCCTGAAGTGGTCTACGACCAACTCAAGTTGAGTCGGATCCCGACATTGTTCCTGCTAAGTTTTTGAAATTGAAAAAATTAAATTGAATAAAGTAAAAAAAAATCTAGTAAATTATCTCAAGAAAAAGAAAAAAATTTTAAAAAGTCAAAGATCAGGTTCGATCCTGAACATACTGAAAATTTGGTAACAGGGTACTTAGAAATACTATACAATGGTACCCAATTCAGTACTTGATCAGTACCTTCAGGTACCCAATTACTGTGTATTTTCCAGCAGGGTACTTGCCAAAGTACCACTTAGGTACCTGTAAGTACCTGCAAGTACTTTGGTACCCAAAAGTTCTTGTGACATACTGGTATCAGGGTACCTTTTTGGGTACCCTTAACTCAGTATATTCTCTAGGGTAGAGAACTAGAAATAACACCGACATCTATGAATGTATACAAATAATTCATTCACAGTATAGTACCATGTATTTGGACCATTTAAGTATATAAAACTTGTTACGAATGGATCCCACTTAATGACTTAAGCTATATTTGTAAGCATGGGTATTCGTAACGAATGCCCTGTTCTTTTTAGTGCCAGTCTTTCATTTTAGTTATGAATGCAATAAGAACTTGATTACGAAAGCCCTGCCAAAAACGATACGAAAGCCCTGTATAAGTTTGATACAAAAGCCCTGTCAAAATTTGATACGAAAGCCTTGTCAGAATTTGTTACGAAAGCCTTGTCAAAATTCGTTACGAAAGCCCTGTAGTAAAAACGATGACAGGGCTTTCGTATTACGAAAGCCCTGTAAATTTCTCGTTACGAATCGTTACACCCCCTGGTATAATTAGATTTTTGATAGTCCAAACTATGCACGAGAAAAATC